TTTTTGTCTTTTTTCGTGACCGGCAACGGGATCGCAACCCTCGGTGTCGCACCCGCACCGCGCTCAACCAGTGAGCGGACCGGTCTCTATATGGAATCCGAACCCTCGGCGGGAGCGCCGCCATGCTCCCAAGCACCGCACTCTACCGAGTGCGCCACTGGGCCAGCCCTAACATAGAAAGAATTTAAAATGTCTGAATTATAATACTAATCTGGTAGATGGGATAAATATTGGCAGAAAGAGGAGAAATTGTGAAAAGCTTCTTAGTCTCATGTGTCTTTAGTTTTTGCTGATTTTTCTTCTTCAACAGTTCTTAAGATGTGGTCCTTTTAAAATTAACATAAAGCCCCATCACCAAGGCCTAAATTAAATAGGATCTTGCCTAGAATGTTGTAAAAGATTCATGGAAACTTGGGCTTGATGGCTTTGAAAGCCTCTTTTGACCTTGTGGTTTCATAGTTAATCAGAAGGCAAACCTACCCCATTCTGGATTTTAGACTTTAGCCTGGAGAATCTTGCCCTGATTCAGCAAGGTAGTCAATATCACAAAGAAGGCTTTATCTAATCACACGTTTAACTCAGAATGTGTTCACTGCCTAGCAGATCACTTAGCATTTTGCCCTAAAATAGTTAAATTGTGCCATGTACATAATTAATTTGAATGACACCATTAATAACCAAGATAATATATCCTCTGCAAAACATTATGAATTCATTCATTTCTCTCTCTTTCTCTTTTTTCGGTTTGGTATAAAACAAAATGTCTAAGATACAGATGAAAAAACAAAGGCAATCCTGGGGCAGCTAGCAGTCTGTGTCCTGCCAGGGAAGCTATACCAGCAGAGCCCTGGAATGAATTGAAATACAGGGAAATCACTATTTCAAAGAAATATTGCAGGGCCGGCCTGTGGTTCACTTGGGAGAGTGTGATGCCGATAACACCAAGGTCACAGGTTCAGATCCCTAATAGGGTTGGCCGGTTAGCTCACTTGGGAGAGCGTGGTGCTGACAACACCAAGTCAAGGGTTAAGATCCCCTTACCTTTAAAAAAAATATATATATATATATTGCTTTCTGAGTCACATATCACAATTTCTAAAAAGAGAGTAAATAGTTTAGGATGACAGCTAAATAAGAAAGTATCTTCCCCCCAAAATTATATAATATATATAGTCAGAATATTCTGCTTTGTGAAAGACTTCATTATCAAAATAAGAAACGGTGGGCACTTATTAAATTATTGGTAAGTATGCCAAGGTTTACCTTCACTGTGTACTTTAAGATTTTTATAATATATGAATTGTGGCGCGTCAACCGAAGGCTTTTGTGAAACCAGGTAAACAAAGCTTCATTCATTTGTTTTAGCAGCTCTCTTAGAATGAACTATAATAATTGTGGCTTATCTTTTGGGTACAACTGTTTATGGCTGTGACAACAAAGTGTTACCCTCAAACAATGGTATCATTTTGTTCAAGAGATTTTCTACAAACTTTTATTTGGTGTCTGGCCTTTTCTTCTCACATTTTATGAGAACCTTCTGTGACCACTGAGGTACCTTCCCATGATCACATGCAGCATTTTTCTGTTTCACACTGGTTCATAAAGCACCTGGCCATTCTATCCATAGCCTAAATGACTTTAAGTTATTTATTAAATCATATGACAGAATCAAGCAGAAACCACAGGGCAGAAATCGCAGCCTGCACCGTGTGACACTGATCTCCAACCAGGTTAATTGAGCAACTGTTTTGAACATATTTGCCTATTATTACCTTTTTCTTTTTCTTTTTCTTTTCTTTCTCTTTTTTTTTTTTTTTACACAGTCAGTCCAAATGTAACAGTCTATTTGAACGTGGTCTATGTACTTAGCCTTAATTCCTTACATAATACTTTCTAGTCAAATTCTGGAATGTCAGTTTATTACCTTAATTTTTTTTCAAAATTCTAAACAAATACACTTCATTTCTAATTTTCTTTGTAATATTTACAAGTAAAGCATTAAACAAAAGTTTTATGTGCTATAGTCTACTAGACCAGAGGAAAGAAAAACTTACTGCTAGAATAATTTTTGCGAGTTTAAGGCTGAGCAAGTCTGAGCCAACATCAACTAGTTTATATAGGGTCTTCAGGAGAATACTTCTTCTCTTAAATTTGTTTCCAAGCATGTTTCCTTGTTCTAAAGCATGATGAAGTTGTGTGCAAGCAGCATAAATCGTTTCAATGTTTTCTTCTGTCAGAGCAAAGAGAGTAAAGTAACACTTACTAATTAAGGTCATTATTTCTCTGGATATCTTCAAATTCCTGAACTATATTTTTCCCTTCTCTTATCACCTCCATCCACCCAACTTTTTTCATCTCTTTGATCTGTCTCCTCCATGTTGACTTATTTACCATCAGTCAGTTAGCTTATCTAGAATACACAGTCCTACAGAGAGTGCATGAAAGAATGGAATTGCCACCTGTTTCAGTTGGTCTCTTATATTCCAAATGCCCTCCACCTCCACCTGTGCTTTGTTCAGTCTCACTTGCATTTGACCTTCAACCCTTTTTGGCACAGTGCCACTGGCCTAGAATATTCTTCTTGCCCTCATTCCTATAGTTTTTCGTCCTTCAAGGCTCTGGCTCCTCCAGAAAAGATGCACTATTCAAGATTCAACAAATGTTACCTTGTACTGTTATTTATTTGTTTATTTTTCCTCTTTTTTTTTTTTTTTTTTTTTTTTTTGGCTCCTGGCCAGTATAGGGATCTGAATCCTTGACCTTGCTGTTTATTGCTAATTTTTCACATATATACATGTGTGTGTTGTGGTATATGCCCAGAGTCCTTAAATAGATGTCATGCCAAGTGAGTAGGACCCATGTCTTACACATCTCTGTATCAACAGCTCATGGTACAGTGAGAATACTATACAGACAACCTGTAACAAATTTCATACATATTCATTTTCTAATATATCTATTGCTGGAAACAATTACCAATATTTTTTCTATGAGAACATTGCTCATCATCTGAGAAAAGAGGTCTCTAATAAAACAAAAGCTTGAAATGTCACTAAACCCACCATTATTTAGAGGTGGTTATTAGGAAAGAAGAGAATAAAAAGAAGACTTTAGTTAGGAAACAGGGAGACCTAGAACATTTTATCTGTAATTATGATTTGGAGGAAGGTAATAGCCATACTAATGGGCATACGAGGAAGTAAAGTAGCACGCACAATGGAACAGGCGGGGAAATAAAAGAACCCAAGGCATAAGGCATTCTGTTGGAAAATATTATCTCTGATAGATTCCATCACAAAATTTAAAAGTAGGAAACCAATCTTAAATAAATACCATAACATGCTCTTAGAAGCCCGCATAGAGGAAATGTGCGCCGGCAGAAGGAAATGACTCAGGCCATTTTTAGCTCTTTTCAACAATAACATCTAAGAAAAAATTTTAAACCTGAATAGCTAAGTAACCTTCAATGTCTTTCAGTTATGCCCTTAAATAAATGAATTGATGGGAAATGACTTAGACTAACTTTAAATAAAGGGAAAAACCTGAATTCTATTGTATGAAACACTGGTTTTGTTTTATTTTCTGTGACTGGCAGTTTCTCCACAAACCCTAAGTCCAGTCCCTGGGCCACACATTGGCAGTGGGTGGTCCTCAAGGTGTTTTTCTAACACTTCCCTCCATAAACTCTTCAGCCTGGTGGGATTGACCAAAGAGTAGTTGTTTTAGCTTTAAGAGAAATTAAAAAGGAAGGTTCAAGCATCAAATTTTAAACTATTGATCAAATTAACTCTTTATACCAATTAGTTTGTTATAAATGCCATATAACCTCAAAAGACAACTCGAATCTAAGTGCTTTCAAGATTCTCAAGGGGCTAAAGCTAGTGGGTAAAACTTTCATGAGAACTAAAGAGTGACATAATCTCAAAGTAACTTCTCCCCACAAGATACTTATTAATTACAAAGGGAATATTAGCAACTTTACAGTGGATAAAACTGGCAGATACCACCCTGCCCAAGTGACCGAAGCTCACATCCAGGGCTGGCTGGTCAGCTCACTTGATTAGAGCACACCGTGATAACACCAAGGTCAAGGGTTTGGATCCCCAGACCAGCTAGCCATCCCCACCCCGACCCTTGCCAAAAAAAAAAACAAAAAGAGGAAAAAAAAAAAGTTCACATCCCCAGCAACCAAACAAATCAGTGTCATGTGCCTCTTGACACAGGCATTGCAAAGGACACAGCATCACTTAGGTGATATACCTGCCCCAAATGCCTAACCTGGATCTCTGTAAGAAAACACAACAAACCCAAGTAAGTCAAGAGCATAAAAGAGACATGACAAATGATTGGAACCTGTGATCCAGGATTTTTTTTTTTTTCTATAAAGGAAATTATTGGGACAATTGGCAAAATCTGAGTAGGATTTGTATAGTATTGTATGGTAATTTCCTGATATATAAGAGAATGCCCTTGTTTCTAAAAATACAATGCCAAAGTACTTAGGGATATGGGACATCATGTTGACAATTTGTTCCCAAATGGTTCAAAAAACAAGAAAACAATGTGGGGGGCATGTAGGGAAAGAGAGGGACAGGAAGGGAGGGAAAGAGAAAAAGGCAGGGAGAGAGTAATAAAGCAAATTTGGTGAAACAGTAATGTCGGGGGTGGGGGGAATATGGGTGAAGCATATACAGGATTTTTTGTACTACTCTTGCAACATTTCTGCAAGTCTGAAATTACGTCAAAAGAAAAGGTTAAAAAAAGAAAAAGGAAAAGAATCTCAAGGGGTCAACTAATGCAGCCTGGCCAGAATCTGCTGTTCTTCAAGATGTCTAGGGAGAGAGATGCCACACTTCAATGCTTACTAATCCTTCTGAGAAGGGAGAGCCATCCACATTTCAAATCCCCAACTCCTGTTACATTCTCTGTTGATGTCTGTGGTGGATGGAACCTTCAGAGCCCTCTTAAATCCTTGAGGCTGAATGAAGACTTCTTCCACGACAGGCCTTTGCAATAGATACTGACTTATTCCCCATTGAATGTTTCCTAATACACTTTCTCTTTAAACCTTTACCCAGACTCATTGTTCTTCTCACTAGTTTTGCACACATCTCCTAAAATAAAGGGCCCAAAGTTAACTGGCACACAACGTGAGGGTGAAAATGAGTAATTCTAGACGAGAAAAAGTCACCACATCCACGTTCTTAAGATTTTGAGCTGCAGAGGACTTTGGAGATGATCTAGTCTTGTCCACCTACTCATCTGCCAGGTGAGGACATTACTGTGCCCAGAGATTAGGTGATTCCCCACATGTTTAGTTAACAGCAGCACCAGGACCAGAAACCCTGCCCAGGGCTCCCCTATTAACCATGACCACAGCCAGGCACCAACAGGGAGCCAAGGAGGGATGAGGTCATTTGAAACTTTTAGGAGTTAGACCTTTTGCACAACTCCCTATTTGGTTTCCCAGGAGGATTTATTTACCCTGTTTCTCCTAGAACGCTTTCTGTGGCCATCATGCTGGTTTGCTCATCCACAGTTCCTAGTAAGGGCCTACTGTGCATTGTGTGCCAGGCAGTGGGCTCAGCCCCAAGGCTGTGATCACAGATCCAGAGGAGCCTGATTCAGCTTCAGAAATGGAATCCCCAAGGAGCTGCAAAGGGGGAGAAAGTTGGGGTGGGGTGGGGCCATCCCCTGACAAGCTTGCCACACCCTGTCAGGGACTCATCAATTGTAGACATTCACTTCTGGAGCACTTCAGAGTGCAAGGGCTGGGCACGTCCCAGGCCACTTCCCGTGCTGTGAGTAGCGTTCCTGACAGATGTCCTCAACCTCAGGAGACTAGGACATGCACACAGTTGGACTGAGAAAACCATGACACACCTGTCAAGGAGGCCAGTCTATGAGACTCAGTTTCAGAGGAATGAAATTTGTTTTAATATTTTTCTTTCTTGAGTATGAACAGCTACCCTAGAGAGGTAAACCAGCATTTCCTCAGGTAGAGGAAATGAAAATTAATCTACATCACAAGGGGAATTTTTAGAAGTCAGCTCTCTTGGTGCATTTAAAGTATAATTTTACTCACTAAAGATTTGTTTTACAAAATGTAATATTTAACAAACACATTACTGGGTAAATAATTAGATGACTTTGTTTTTGAACATGTTCAGAAAAATAGCAAAGTGTACTAAAAATATCAGGGCAATGGGGAACATGAATAACTGCAAATATTTTTGATTAAAACAGAAACTGCTTTTTTTTTTTTTTTTTTTACCCTTTTCTAATTCATGCAAAAGCGGTACAATCCTTGTATTCCAAAAGACTTCATCTACTTCTATTTCGGTATCCTTTTCTTGCAAGTTGGCTTTTGAGACTGCAAAAGAAATTCAGAGCAGAAGAGCCATGAAAGAATTGTAATGGAAAAGTCTTTACTATTCATCACTAAAATGAATAAACTATAGAATTAAACTATGCTTTGCCCCCCAAGCATGACTAATTCTAATTAGAACTTCAGGTCTTCTAATCAAATCTCCCCAAATTAAACTCAGATAAGATAATGTAAAGAAATCACAACTTTAAAATATGATTGGGACACTTCATAAAATATTAAGCTTTGTAAATGTTGATGACTTTCAGTAAGGCAAACCATTTTGAGTTATTTTTTACTTAAATGTATCCCTCTTTAATGTGGAATAGAAAACTATAGATGTGTAAAGAATAAGGATTTTGAAAATGTTTAATGAAAAATTTTCTAAAAGAGAGGCCTAGAAGGACCTTCTTTTCTATAGAAAATAAAATGTCCACACCATTATGGGGCCAGTGGCATTAATGCCAATTGACTTTGAGTTGTGTGATGGGAAAAGTCTGTGCTTTGGGGCTGACAAATCTTGACTCAAATATCAAACCCATTATTGACCCACTGGGGGTCTAGTTTTCTACCCTTTCTGAACCTCAGTTTCCTCATCAGCAAAACAGAGATAGGAATATATGCCCTAAGAGTTGTGAGAATTAAGACATGATTTAGGGAAAGCTCTGAGCCTAGTGCCATGCACTTTGCAACATTCGATATATATGAATTTCAGTTCCCTGATTTAAAAAACAAACAGGTAATGCCTGTCTGTAAGGTATCACAGCTGGTGATACCACCAAATCATCAAGCAGATGCTGCCCGTGAACCTAGGCTATAGAGTAACAGCTACCCTTGACGGTGTGCTTCAGATGCAGCAGGTGTGTATTTCATTTTTGTAACAACACTACAAGGAGGTCTCCAAATTGTTCCTATTTTGCAGATGAAGCAAGTGGAGCCCAGGGGTACTGAGTTATCTTCCCAAGGTTGTGTAGCTCCACTGCCCTTGTACTCATCCTCTACGCTGTTCTGCCCTACAGCAACCGGCAGACTAAAAGTTAACACTGAGGGGAAATATAAATCATACTAGAAACTGCAAACCATGATTACATTCCACACAGGCAGTATCTCAAGATCTTTTTTTTTTTTTTTTTTTTTTTTTTTTTTTTTTTTG